GCTATTTTCTTGATTTCAAGTGATCGTTCGTACGATGAAAGTGCTTTCGGGTACTCGCCCATGTTACTGTACACATTACCGATGTTGTTGTAGGATTGAGCCAAGTCGGGATGATTCGGAGGGAGAACTTTCTTGGTAATCTCAAGATCTTTTTCATAATATGAAAGTGCTTTCGAGTATTCGCCCATGTCTTTATACACATTACCGATGTTGTTGTAGGATTGAGCCAAGTCGGGATGATTCGGAGGGAGAACTTTCTTGGTAATCTCAAGATCTTTTTCATAATATGAAAGTGCTTTCCAGTACTCGCCCATGTTTTTATACACCAACCCGATGTTGTTGTAAGATTGAGCGAAGCCGGGATGATTCGGAGGGAGAGCTATTTTACGGATTTCAAGTGATCGTTCGTACGATGAAAGTGCTTCCGAGTACTCGCCCATGTTATTATACACCAACCCGATGTTGTTGTAGGATTGAGCCAAGTCGGGATGATTTGGAGGGAGAGCTATTTTCTGGATTTCAAGTGATCGTTCATACGATGAAAGTGCTTTTGAGTACTCGCCCATGTTATAATACACCAAGCCGATGTTGTTGTAGGAAGTAGCCAAGTCGGAATGATTCCGAGGGAGAGCTATTTTCTTGATTTCAAGCGATCGTTCATACGATGAAAGTGCTTTCGAGTACTCGTCGATCTTATAATACACCGCACCGATGTTGTTGTAGGAAGCAGCCAAGTTGGGATGATTCGGAGGGAGCATTTTCTCGTTGATATTCAGTGCTCTTTCGTAATATAGAAGCGCTTTAGAGTATTCACCCAGGGCACCATATACCAAACCAAGCTGATGATTATAATCCGCTCGTTGTTTATCAGAAGTGGCTTTTTCAAGGAGTATCTTACAGAGATGTTCTGCTTTTCTAGACTCTCCGAGTTCAATGAGTATATCACCAAAGCGAGCCCATCCTGTTACCCAAGTGAATTTTTTTCGCAGCGCTGATGTGAGCTTGTTAAAGTCATCATCCTGATTACCGACGAGAGTGAGATTAACTTGCCATAAGCGATCAGTATGGTTGTCTTCAATTCTTTCGATGCGATCGATACGAAAAATTGTATGTGTTGAAAACAGTATTTCTTCCTCTTTATCTTTGTAGTAGCCAACTTTGCTTACTTCGGCAAATGGTGTTGATGATTTTGTACAAATAGCCGTGTCAATGTTCATCATGAAAAGGATGCCAACTGAATTTGTATTAAATGCTGCTGGTCGTGCAAATTTTTTGAAAGATATCTGACGATTGCGACTTGTTGATAAGAAATTATTAAAGGACATAAGTCCTCCTTTGGTGTTTTTCATTTTTTCAAAATCTTCCATGGACAAACCTTGTCCACGGAAGACTTGAAATTTTGCTGGCATGCTGGCTTTTTGTTCGCAATGTAGTTCGGTAATATGATTATGTAAATGGCGAATGAAGAAACCCATCTTCAGGATAATATCGACATCCATTTGTCGGAGTCCATGATTGAGCATGGGATAAATAAATGTCTCCGCTGTATACCACCATATTGGCGTATGATCACGATATTCATTTTCGACCTTCCTAATTTGACATTCATCAACATCATCTTGTAGACGACAGTACTCTACGAGATCTTTAATCGATTTGACATCGTCGTCTTCAATTTCCAAAAGTGCTTCTTTTAAAAGTTGTGTATACATAAATAATGGATCAAGCCCATTAAAGCTGACCGGGATCATAGCTTGATCACATCGTTGTCGATCGATTTCAAGTGCTTGACAAATTGGTTCTATTTTAGTATATACACCCTTAACCTTGCTTATTTTTATAGCCCATTCTTCATGAACCGATTGGTTGCCACAAAACACATAAATTGCTTCCAGTTGTGGCAATGCTTCGATTTCTGGCACTATTTGACGACCCAACGAACCGGATACAATCATAAATACCTTTTCTTTTTTGATTTCACTTAGGAAATTAACACATTGTTGGGCATCCGTAAACGTTGTGATGGATGCCACAATTTTTCGAAGATGTTGCAACGAATTCTTAAAATCGTTATCGGATTCTTGCAAATTGGCATCGAGCCATACCAAAAGGAAATTTTGAAGAATCCGACGAGCAGTTTGAGGAAGTACTGCATTTCTGCTTGTCGTTGTTGTTGGTAGTGATGCTGCTGCTGTTGTTGATGACGATTCTTTTGGTTTATTTATTGTGGAAGGAGAAGATGATCCACTAGCAGTTGATTTTGAATGTTGCTTTTTGTCCATTTGGATGATTTTGATGATAATAATGACGTTGTGTTTTTCGTAAATGATTTTTTTCAATAGGTTTTTTTTCTTTTTTCGTGTTGACACTTTTTATTTTTTGGTTTGTTATTTTTGTTGCTATAGAAGACTTGAAGGATTTCTTTGCTCAATTTTTTGCTCGTTCGTTCGTTTTCTTTTTATTTAAAGAGTTTTTTTATTAACAAAATGACACTGACGAAACATGTGTCACCAATAACTGAATAATTGTATTATCGATCAATTACGCATGATTTGTAGGAAAGAAAAAACAAAAAGTTACAAATAGAATTTCAAAATAAGTCGCTATATTTTTTGTTTTCATTGTTTTTCTTTTTCTTTACTCCTATCTGGAATCATTAGAAAATTCTCTTATTTTGTCTAAGTTTCTATATGCAACACATCTTAAATCAATAAAATAAGTGTCTTATCAAAAAAAGAAAAAAAGAACGAAAAAAAAAACGAATTCATTTGTGTAGTTAGAGTAAAAATGTTGAAAACATAATTATTTTCCATGACTAAAATATCTTTTCTTGAAAATACAACAGAAGTTCATTTAGTTGTTGATTTGGTTGTTATACGCAAGTCATTATGTTTTCTTTTGAAGTTTGCATCATCATCTCAACAAATCAGGGAAGAAGAAAAATAAACATATAATAAAATGAATCAATATTGTTTGCATTGTTGCCAAGGTTTTTTCCAACATAGGTAGGAAGAATGAGTATCGAAATAATGCCACGTGTAGATGTGAGCATGAGTTTGAGTCTGTTTGTCCTTCATAATCACACTTCATATTCAATAGATATTATTCTAACAGATTTTCACTAAGAACAAATGTATTTTATTTATGAGAGGAGAAATGAATTAAAAGACACGATTTGCTTCTAATAATATTTAATTATATATGATAAAGCATTTATAGAATTAAGATGGTTGCTCATATGTTATAATATACTACGACACGAAAACAACAAAACTATATACCTACAATACATACAACGATTGCAAGTAAAATTCAAAATATACACAGGGACACTAGATTGACACGAGTAAATTATAAAGATACATCTATATAAATATTGTTATTCTTATATCCCTTCTCTTGTTTAACTAGTGTCTGTTTGTTTGGATTCTAATTTGACATACAACACTTTAAATGAAATATATGGTCATTTTTACATTTCTTTTTTTTTCTCTTAATGTACATATTATCGATAAAAAAAAGACAAATCAACGATTAATTTATATTCATTGATTTATAATATTCTATTAGAAGTAAGTTAATATTTCTTCCATGTATTTAATAAACAAAATATTGACTTCGACTTTTGTACCATTCCCAAAAAAAGTTTCTTTATTGTGTTATTAATTTGATCCGTAGATCATATATGACCATGAAATGTACCTCAAGATAAAATTTCTGTGCTTTAGATATTTTTGAAATCTTTGAACTGATGAATCGATTTTCATTCATGACTAGTAGCATTCTGTAATGTGCATACTGTAAGTTTCGTTTTCCGAAATAGGTTTTTTGCTAATGTTTTAAAATTTGTTGCTAATTTTCTCTTATGAGATGTAGGTATAGTAATAGTTTGGCTTTTACATCATTCGTACGAATTGATAGATCTGATGTTCGTTCTTGGAATTTTGATGATAAATGACTCTTGCTAAAATCTGTCTCTACGGCAAGACGTCAAGTCAAAATTCAAAAATCAATTTTTTTGTTATTAGAACTTTCCTCATGAGTAAAATAATCATGAACTTCATTAGATATTCGATAGTTCAAATAAAAAAATCTCATAAGATGGAGTGTGGTTGATTGAAGAAGAAGAAACCACAGCCATAGGCAAACCCACACCCAAAGTACACAGGTATAAATCAATTCTAGAAAAATTAAAGACAAGTGTACATATATATATATTAGTTTTATATTTTTGAAAAAATGAAATTACAATGAGTTTTTAGTTGATTTCCACATCAAATCTCTTTCAAATCGATTCAATACAGATTGAAGAATTGGATTGCGTTTTTTCCTACTTAAATTTTTCTAAATATATTATTATGGTGTAGAGATGAACGAGGAAATCTAATTAAGAAATGACTGAATAACAGCAACATTTAATATCATATAAGTCATTTGAGATCATATTCGATGAATTTAATTTATGACAGTCGATATACTTTCAATTAAATATTCCGATATGTCAACAGATTCTTTATTAGAATTTTTCATTCGTTAAAGAATTAATTTTGGAATAATATGATAAGTTATGATTAAAAAAAAGCAAAATAAGCAAAGAGGAAATATTTTGTTTTTTTGCTGGTAATATTATCATTACTATTAATCTCTTTATGCATTTGTTTGTCGACTTTCTTCAACACCATCGAGTAGAGAATAAATACACCATAACTATGAGAATCAATACAGATTTTGGCCAAATATGTACAAAAGTGTTCATTATTATTTACTTCTGAACAAGGACGCCAATCTGAATAGAATTTTCACTACCGAAAAAAAAAAAGAAATATGTCTGTCATAGTAACAAACGTTACACCATAGAAAGAAAAAAAATTTTCGTTTTCATTAAATAAATAAAGACATCACACGTCATTATTTTATTTTTCATCAGATACTTTTCTTATTAATAATATACAATAATAAGACAAAAAAAATGAGACAAAAATGTAAGAAATAAAATATTAAACCAAGTCATGACGGTGACTATGGCAGAGAGCGTGGCTCTATATGGGAGGATGTCAATAAATGAAGTACTTGGACCCACATCAGCGCAAAATAATGTCTTTAGATTTACTTTAAGTGTTTACAAGATCGAAATATATCCCTATTGAATGTGTATCAAAGACTATATTTTAGTTATAAGAATTTTGGTTGATGATAAGGTTTTCACTTTATACAGTCTTATTTTATAAAGATGTAATCTAGCGCCATCCATTAATAAAAAGAACAGAAATGTTAATGGTGTTTACGAATATTCAATCGATGTTACTCTTTTTCAGTCGACTATTCATTCATTCATTATGATTATCAAATAATGTTTAAACTTAGTCATTTATCTATTTGGTTTTAAAATAAATGAATTGAATATAAATTAAACAAAATGGATAAACTAAGTAAATCACATGAAGTTTTAAGGTTACTTTCAACAACAAAATCAGAAACATTAATAATCAAGTAAAATTTGATTTTTCTGGTTTTCATCTCTCCTCGAATGTTCTTCTCATTTAGAGGTAACAATGAAAATTATTTTAAATTAATTAAAGCTAGTGTGGAAACATTATTTACAACATGTGACGAATAATGATTATAATGTACGATTGACTGCCGGAGAAAGTCTTAATAAATTTGTTAAAGTATTATAAAAGAAATTCTTTTTTTTTTGTATAATTTTTTATGGATTGTAGAATAGAATTTAAAAGAAGCAAATTTAACAAGAATTCCGGTTGAATTATATCGAACTATAAAACATAATCCTAATGTTGGACCAAATGCTTTAAAAGGTTATTTTGATTATTTGACTTGAATTAATAATAAAGATTTTTTTTTAATTTCGATTAGGTGTTCTGTGGTGATTTGCTGAATTAGCAAATGTAATACATTCGAAAAAGATTCAACCATTTTATCAGAATATTATGAACTTATTTTTCATATTCTTGGTTGATCAATTAATGAGAAAGAAATTAAAGTAAGTAAAAGAAAAATCTTTGTCATCTAAGACGAGTTTTTTAAAGAAGTAATCAGAAAAATGTCATACGGTTGAATAGAAACATAGAAAAGAATTGCTCTACCATGTTTCGGTTAAAACTTCTAGCAGGAGAGGATATTTCTCAGAAAATGTAGAATAGGCAGTCTGATACTATTTGACGAAATACGAACTGAGAAACTGCCTATCATTTGAAGCGATCTGCCCTCGAAAGTAATCGAGCGTAGAGTTTCATGCAACTTAAGAATGGTTTAGTCATAGGAGTTCACTGGCTATCGTTATAGTTAAAGTATGAAGTCAAGTGAGAACGAATTTTTCTTTTTCTTTTCCTAATATTAATAACAAATAATTTTCTTTTGAAATATTTAATAAACTACTAAACTATTCTTAGAAACTTCTAATGACCTATCCAACAAATATGTTATCCCATGGTTATGGCACGTTTTCTAATGACAAATGTAATTGATAGATTTTCTTTCAAATAATAATTTCAGTTCATTATAATTGTCTTTTATATTAATAGATCAATTACTTGAACATCAAAATCAAAATGCTAGTACACGTTTAATAATTGATTATCTTGATTTAATAAAAAAAATTCTTCAATTACTTCGTTATTCAAATTTATTTGATTTTGATCAATTATTAATTTCAACCCAAATTGGATCTATAGAAGAAATTCGTGTTAGTGAAGCCTTAAAAACAGGTAAATATTGAGGAAAAAAAACAAGAATTATGTTTTCATCTGTTTTTTTTTCTAAAACAATAGCTTATTCAACATGTCAACGTTGATTTATTGAAATGAATGATGAATTCGATTCAACATCAATGATTAATAATGAAAAATGAATATCAGCTGCTAAACTTGTTAAGCAATTATATTTTTTCCGATTAGATATATGCTTAATATGGATGGCACGATAAAAAGTGATGATGAATCATGTATTAGTGTTAAATGTGCTATACCAACATGTCTATCGTGTTTATCAACAATTTGGTCGATTTGATTACCTTATTGAAAATATGTTTAATTCTTGTTTGAGGCTTCCTTTTGTAAAGTTTCACTTCAGTAAAATAGATCTATTTTATAATCCAAAATTATTTCTAATGTCGTAACAGTAGGAGGACTTAGGTGAAGGGGATTGTGGCAGAGTTTAGTTGACGTGGCTTCAATTGGTTAAAGGCTCAAAGTTTAGTGAAAGTTATCTGATAGATATGACAATTTCACTATTAAATTGTTGAAACATATATATATATATATTGGAATCTGAAAATTCAAGAACGGAGATTTCTAAATATTGATTCAGCAGCTCTAGTCCTATTCCTATTTTTAATTTTTTTGAAATCAACAAAAGACTAGAACATTATCAGACTCGAAAAGATATCAAGTAGAACATTTTATTGAAGCTCAAAGCCTGCATTTATACATCAGAGATTGAAATTATACAATCACACAACTACCTCAAAAAAGTTCTAAGCCGAAGTTCGAGATATGAAATCAATTGTATCCTCTAAGGAGTTTTTCTTTAGTCTTTGAAGATTTCTGATGAGATATAATTTTGTAATTGAAATAGAACTTTCTAATAAGAAAAATGAAATTCTCATCTCTATATGACTTGTAATACATTAAAATTTATCGAACATCAAGGTATCTTTTTTTTTCTTTTCTTTAAGATATTACATATCTTTTATCTTTAT